TTTACTTGATTTCATCATATTATATATTATTTTGCCCTGAAGAGTTGATCAAATAATACGAATATAATGAAAGATGACTTTAGGCAGCCTTACTTCTTCTGAGCCAAAATCATTGGTTCCTGTCGATATGATGATGACCAATGAAATATTTAAAAAAAAATTTAATAGATGAAAAAAAATAAAATTATATGGTAAAAATAACAAAATACTCTGAGGCAAAGCAACTAAGTTGTCTGGTAGAAATTTTCTTTTAATGTAAAGAAAAACGGCTTTATTTAGTTGAGTAGATGCTAGTGATAGGAAAAGCACAAAAATCCTAAAAAACTAAAATAAATAAATAACCTAAGAAATCACTACAAATCTTACAAAATACATTTTGATAATAAAAATTTAAAAAAAAATCTAAAACACAATAAACTAAAAAAAAAAACCATAAAAAAAACCGTAAAAATACAGAAAGCAGTCAAAAAGTCTCAAAAAAGCTCCTAGACTATTGCCACTGGGCTTATGTTGCCTAATATGATTTTCAAATTAAACAAAACACTTAATGAAACCATTTCAAGCCAACACTTTATATTGCCAAATATTAAAAAAAAAGCATTAAAAAAATCAGTAAAAATATAAAAATTACGTTAAACTTTATAACTTTATCATGAAAGACTTATAATAAAAAAAAATTATTTTTTGAAGCTTATAAATCTTGCAAAATGTCATTATACAGTAAAATCATCATTATCATTGTTTTTGACATTTCCATGACCAGGTATAGTCATAGGGTCATTGGGCACTAGACCAATTCTCCCTATAGATCTGGGTTGAAAATTATGTGGCTGGTAATAAAATCATAGAAAAAAAACACACCTTGGTTTTGCAAGTGACATGTTTGGTATAAATGAACCCATTGTAACAGATTTTTGAACCACACATATTACTGTCAATAATTTCCATGGCAAAAGGTGTTAAAATTATTTTTCACAAAATCCAAGCATTGTTGATCCACAATAACACTGAGCTCCAAGATTTTCACTATTCAAATTGTTTTCAGGGTTAGGGTGAGGGATATGAGGGTTAAGGTTAGGGTTTTAAAAAAGTCTATTAATGAAAGATCCAGAAAAAGTGCTAACATTGTCCTATGACTTTTTTTTCTGTGACTTTTTTTTAGCTGGATTCAGAAGGATGTCTTGGGAAAGTATTCTGGTGGATCTCCAGATCAAGCAAGAGCTGATGTTCTCCAACTTGAAGGTTTGTGTTAGTAATGAATATATGGACATTGATTTAATTGTGGGAACTCTCTACCTTGGCTGCTGATTTCAATCTAGCACGCCCTCTGCTCATCAAGGCTGCATCGTTACCACATTGGCTTCATCCATAGGTATAGAAACCAGACTACCCCAATGTGTAAGATGGCCACTGATCATCCACGCCGACATTTGACAGGAATTGTTTTTAATTCTGCCAGGTGTCTAGCCACCCTCTGCTTCAGAAAAGCCTGATAGGTTAACTGTTTTAGTTGCTGATGACCAGGTTATATGGTACCAGTAGCTCTTTTAGAGTAACCTGACATACCCTACAGGCAAAAAGTTTGGGGCCATCTTGCATTTCTTTAAAAAATTCCTTAAAATGAGATATTTTTGTATTTTTTTTAAAGTAAAAGATAAAATTTCAGTAACTACAATGCATTTGCTTTTATTTTTTAATCTTTCTCCAGGCTCCTCAAAGCAAAAGCAAAGTATCCAAATTCAGCAAAGTATCCAAATTCAGCAAAGTGTCCAAATTCAGATTTTTCAGCCCATAATACATTTTGCTAAATTATGAATATTTTGTATAAGAAGCATTATATTTTGTTTTTAACATCTCAGTAGACTTTTGGAGATTACCAAAAGAGCTGAAAATTTCAGGTCAAGGGAATCATAAAAAAAAAGAACAATATCATTCAATTTTGCAAAGACATGCTATATCATCTGGAAAAATTCATCTTTCAACAAGACAATAATCCAAAGCACTCTTCTAAATTATGTCAAAATTAACTCAAGTTAAAAAAAGAAACAAAATTTTGGAAATTATGACATGTCTGCTTCAATCTCCCAAGCTCTCTCCCACTGAATTAGTATGGAATGAATTGGATAGGTGAGTCTGAAGAGAATATCCAAATAGTAAGAGTGAGCTTTTTCTGTGCTTGAAGAATACTTGAGAAGGTCTGCCATCTACTTTTTTCAAAAAGTGTTGGAAAGAATGCCAAAAATTTGTAAAGCAGTAATTAAGGCAGGTGTTGGTTTTATTAACAAAAACAAAATATTATACTGTTGTATTATAATTTTATAGTTTAATGACTAAGACTTACTAAATTCCAACTAAATATCAATCCCATTGCTACTGCTCATCAAACACTCCCTTTTTATTAATGATGTCAACCAATTCAATAAAAATGTATATTAATTTATATTTAATGTGTTTATTATTACCTATATTATTTATGTATTTATTATTATTATTCAAACAAACATGTTCTAGTATAGGAAGAACTGAAAAAGTTCATTCTCACTAGTTGGATATTCTCTTCAGACTCTCCTATCCACTTCATCCCATACAAATAGAGAGTGAAAAAGAAAAAAAAAACATAAGGCTAAAATAAATCTTATCAAAAAACAATAATGAAAAAAAAGGACAAAGAATTTACTATCCTTAATGTTATAACATACCTACAGACGATAATGGGTATGTCCCTATTGTTATAAATACAGTAGTGAATATTGTACACGGTCTAGAGTTGGAGAATTCACTTGACTCACTTCTAGCAATTGACTACTTCTTCTATGCACTGCTGGCAAATCTTATACGTGTTGTATTTGTCCCAAGTATTATCATTCATTACTGACCTTCGTGCAATTATTCTATTCAGTAACCTTCCCTAGGTTACAACACTTAAATAAAAAAAGTAATAATTATTACTTTTTTGGTACATGCCAAGGTTTGATAAGGGACCAAGGATTCCATGAAGGAGTCAATATTCTAAAAAGATTGGATGACTCCAGATTTAGTGCCATAGACAGAATCTTGAAAAGTTTTTATTTTCAGCAAATAAACTGAAATCCTCACTGAAATACTCTGTGAACTGAAAGATAATCCACAAATAATTGTGAATAAAGCTCTCTGAAATAATAGTGTAAAACACTAAAATCATAGTGAGTAAGAGTTTCTAAAATTATAGGGTGCAAGGCTCTCTAAAATTATAGTGAGTAAAGCTCCAAAATTATAGTGTGTAAACCTCTCTAAAATTATAGTGAGCAAAGTTCACAAAAATTATGGTCTGTAAAGGTCTCTCTAAATTATAGTGAGTAAAGCTTTCTAAAATTATAATGTGCAAAACTCTTTAAAATTATAGTGAGCAAAGCTCTCTAAAATTAATGACTGAAGCTCTCTAAAATTATAGTATAAAGGTTTTCAAGTTAAAGTCACAAATATTTTTTATATATCTACACACACACAAGTATTGCAGATTTTATAATACAAATGTAATAACTACTATGAAATATAAAAACTGTTTATTACAAATCACCCAAGTTGAAAGTTTGCCTTAAAAAACAATATTCAAAATTCTATTTTTAACCTAAAATTTAATATGAATGTTTGGTACCTATGGCAAATTTTTAATATCCCTAAAACCTGATTTAACCCCTAAGTTGGTCTGAACTCAAACATGAGTAAAAGAAAAAAGTAATATCAAGAAATTGGTCATTATTTTGTTTGTCTCATATATTTATATGCACTTGCACACAAAGTTAGCTTTCAATAGAATTTTTACAGTTGTTGAAAACGAATATGCAAAAGGGAAAAAGTTAAGGAATAATTTTAATGATGACGGTAGAAAGCAATTTTGAAAATCCTGCTGAAAAAGAGCAAAAATCCAGCCAATAAACAAGTAAAAGTTAAACTATTTAATCACATTTTATGATAATTATGTAATAATTATGAGAAAATATTCTAATATGTGGCTGAGCTAAGCCATTAAACTTTAAGTGTATGACTGTTGCTAAAGTTCTGTTTGGCTAGCATAAAAGGAAATGAAAACTCATCTATATTAACGTTTTATTTTGGATGTATTTATGATCATAAAATAGAGATTTAAAAAATAAAAATTGTAAAAAAACAGGTGGTGACAAGATGAGGTAATTTTTTTTAATGACTTTTTTCTTCATTGGAAGTGACTGATCAAGTAACAAACACGCAAATTCTATTGATTGAGTGATTGATTTATTGATCACCCTATTAATTGATAGATAAAAACAGAATATTTACCAGTAAGGTATCAAACTTTTCCTGTCACTTATTTAATTAGACCTTGTTTTAATTTATGGCTAATTTGCATACAAGGAATGCTGGAGAACTAAATTTTAGATCTGATTTATGTAAATTAGCAGACTGCGTTATTGTAATTAGCAGAGGGGTATTAACGACTGATTCACAATTATACATTGGTTTTGCAGCGTGGGTAAGTGATGGGAGGGAAGGGTAGAGAATGATGAAATAAGAATGGGAAGGAAAGAAACAAAGAAAAAGAAAATGTGCAAAGAGTAGAAGAAAAAACCGAGGCTAAGCTGCTGGGACTAATCACCTATGATCACATTATAGGTTCATTTCAACTTCAAAGGACGCAATTTTAGGGTACCCATTAAAAAATTCTTCCATGTTATCCAATATGTCTTCGTTTCAACTCAAAGTGTTAAGAAGCAAGAAGAAGGTGGTATTTGGGGTGAGAGAGAGAAAAAGAGAGAGGGGGGAATTAACAGAAAACAGAAAAAAATAAAGAAATAGAGAGAAAATAATAAGATGAAAAAGAAATGGAAGAAAAACAAAGAAAATGAGAATGAAAGTCAGCAAGAGAAGATGGAAAGATGGTTGTAAAGGAGATGAAGGAAAGAGGAAGAAGAGAAAGAAAGAAAATAGAAAGAAAAGGAGTTGAACAATGTGAAGAGAAATAAAGAAGAAAGCTGAAAAATAAT